TGCCTGGTAACTGCTCCCAGTGTCCCCTGTGAGGAGCGAGGGGCTCGGGGAGGGATGAGGAGCAGGGAGGAGCCGTGGGAAGCGCTGGCAGAGCCTCCTCCAGCCGTGCCTTCGGCTGCCCCACGTAAGGCACCCTGGGGAACAGCACAGGGGGGCGATGGAGCCGAGCCAAAGGGTCCCTGAGCTAACCTGGCTTCCCAGGTGGTGGCAAAGCCTTGGACATGGAGGGTGAGGAGGAGGAGCAGCCTGGAAAATCCCAGTGCCAGGCGCTGCTCCCGAGTGGTGCCGAGTTCCGAACACGAATCTCCTTCCCTGGGCCAAATCTGGGTGTTTGAGCCACATCCCAACCTTCTCAAGAGGATATTGTTGGGCTGAGAATTTTCTTTACCCTCTACAAGTTGTTATTTTTCATCTCCCCTAGGATCAAACGTTGCCCTAAATTATTTTTATCCTGTATGGAAACAATTCCCCGCGTTTTACATCATCCTTCACAGCTCAGCCCACTAATGAAGCAATTTGAGATGCCATTCATTTCACACACCAGGATTTCACCCTTAAATAGGATTTAAAATGTTTTCCCAAACCAATCGTGAGAAAATGTGTCCCATTGGTAGCAACATCAACACTAGGTATGGTGATTCCTCTCTACAAATATTGCAACAACACTCCCAAGTTTTCCACTCTGGAGTAGTTCTACTTCTCAGCAGCAACAACGAAGCCAAGTGGAGAAAAGTGGGGCAGCTCAGCCTCTGGTCAAAGTTTTGGAATGAATGAGATTTAATCGATATAAAAACACCACCAAAACAAACAAAACCACCCTAAAAATAGAAGTGAATCCTTTTATCCGCTAATGTGTTGTAAACGATCTGCTAAAAGCCACGTGGATGGCACCACTGGAAAAGCAAACTTTCTCCAGCAGTCAAAGGCAGGATTGACCCAAATTTCATCTCTACATAATGGTTTCCCCCACAGGAATTGGTTCTTGTTTGTGTACCAAGGAAATGTTGCTGGACCCTGAACTGCTTTTGGTGAACGCTCACAATGGTCCCAGTTTTGGTTCGTGCTCTCCTGAATGAGCTCAGGAGCAAAGACAACTGGAGGAATTATTTCCATGGAAAGCCTGGACATGACCACTGTGTCCTGGAGAGAGAAGGAGTTGAATCCTGGTGGGTTCTGCTCCCAAAAAACCAGAACCCAGCTTGGCTTGGGGGAAGGATGAGAGCACCAAGCTGCTGCACACCTGGGAACTGCTCATCCATCCTTCAGCACCAAAGATCCTCTGGATGTGGAGACCTACAAACAGCTCTGACTGCCAGGGAGGAAATTGAGGTTTTTGGAAAAAAATCCTGAGGACAGGACAGACCTCAATTTGGCGACACAGATCGTGGCTGCACGCGTTCCCTGTCTCCTGACACCGCATCCCTGCGGATCCTTCCGAGGAGGGAGGGAGGGAAAGGAGGGAATTTCTTCACACAAAGGTCACTCATGGGAAGGGGCTGCCCACGGAGGTGTCCAAGGAATGTGGCACTCTGGGCTGGGTGACAAAGAGGGGATTGGGCACAGCTGGAACTCAATGACCAAGGTGGGCTCTTCCAAGCTCAAAAAAACCCCAAAAGTTTGACAGGGTGAAAGGGGAAGTGGGAGAAGACTTTGAGGCAAAAGGACTCTGGAAAACAAGGAGCACTTTCACCTCCCTCTCCCATTTCCCCTTCCTTGCCTTCCCAGTTGTTCTCCCCCTGCAGCATCAGGGCAGAGGAAAACCTTTCTGCAGGGTGAAAAAAGGTTTTTCAAGGCATGCAAAGCCTCATGTTTCTCTTTTTCCCATGTGGTAGAACCTACAAACAGATTTTCCCCCCAAGAGAAGCTAATCCTAACAATGTCCTAAAGGTTCAGAGGCTGAGTGAGTCTTTTTGGCCATTTACTGGAACTCAAGAAACTCCACCCAAACCTGAGGAAAAAATTCTTTCCACGGAGGTGGCAGAGGCCTGGAACAGCTTCCCAGGGACATCCCAAACCCATCCTAACAATTCTGGGGTTCTTCAATTTCAATATACTACAAACCCCACAGAAAGAATAGCTCTTTTTTTCTTCTCCTCCACTGACAGTTTGTCATCTCCAGGCTTATTTTTGTTTTAGTTTTTACGGTTTTTTTTTTTTTAAATACAGCAACTTTTCAGTAATGGAATTTACAGTGAATAAAAATCAAACGAGAAAAATTTCCTTACAGAGAATTAAAAAAAAAAAAGGCAGAAAGCTGCTAAGAGCTATCATGTTTTAAGTGCTATAAAATGAGACAAAACAGCTTCCTGTCGTTGCCAGAAGAAAAATGAGAAACTGAAAGAAAGAAAAAAAAAAGCAGCGAGTGCAATTAAAAAGCGCTAAGTTGGCCAAGGTAATTCAGTTATTTTATAAATGTGCATCACAGCTCTGCATTTAAAAATCTTTTGATACAGCTTTAATCACTCAGATTTTACACACTGCTAACTGATTACCTGTTATCTTCACTTAATGCTGACTGAGCTGTAACTGCCTGACTTCAAACACAGCCACCTGCCCGCCTTTGGTATATTTATACACAGAAAAACAAAAGGTTAGTGCTGCAAATGGAAAAAAAAAAACAAAACCAACAAACAAAAAAACAAAACAAACACAAAAGGGGAAAAAGAAAAAGCCACCACAGGACAGGTTCTGCTTGCAGCAGAGGGAGGACAACACATTTCAAATGGTCTCGAAATAGGCTAAAGCTGAGTTGATCTTACAATTATAGCGTAAACAATGCCTGGGTTGTGGTTATGTTGTTTGAAAAGAAAAGAAAAACCAAAAAAAAAAATCTCCAGAGACCTGTATCAACTTCTGTATGTTTAAGCCATACCCTTAAAAGTTCACTATTCACTCACAAAGAGAAGTAGACAAACATGAAGATTCCAATTGAACAGACACAGACCAGTCCAGTATTTAGTAATAGTTTAACTTTTGGAGTCTCTTCCAGCATTTGTAAACAAACAGTCTCTTCCTCGACCTCCCGAACCACTCTCTTGTTTATGTTTTTACTTTTAAAGCCACAGAACCAATCTATGAATTTCAAATGTCTCGCCCTGTCGTCAGTCCCCTCCTCCTCCTCCTCGTGCTTTTTCTCCCCCATCAGGGCGGCCTGTCCGTTGGAATAACAATCCACGGGCGTCTCCACCTCGGAGTGGCTCACCGAGATCACCGGGTTGCTGTCGTCCCTGCACGTCACCAGCAGGTTGATGTCCTCCGGCTTGACGTTTTTAATGATGTTCTCCTCCGACTTGCCGTTGGGGATGATGTGGTTGGCGTTGCACTTGAGGATGCTCTTCTCCTGCGCCTGGTACAGCTCCCCTTTGCCGGCGCTCTCGGGCACGCTGCGCTTCCTCAGGGCCCAGAACGTGGTGGTCCTCACCTGCTCCTTGGTGGGCGGCGGCGTCAGCAGGCTCACCACGACCGTCACCACGCCGGTGATCCAGAACAGGCCCGTGGCCACGTACATGTAATGGATGTTCTTGATGAAGCCGGGCCTGGTGTCGGGCTGGTCGCACTCGGGAGCGCGGTAGAAGAAGGCCAGGACCAGGCGGATGGCGCCCAGCACGAAGCCGGCCATGCCGCCGTAGAAAGCTCCTTGCTCGTTGCAACGCTTCCAGAAGATGGCCATGAGGAACAGGGCGGCCACCGGCGGCGTCAGGTAATCCGCCACCTCCTGGATGTACAGGTACATCTGCCCGCCCTGCATCTCCACGATGATGGGCACCCAGGCGATGCTGATCACCACCATGAAGGCCACGAAGACCCTGCCCACGATCATCAGCTCCCGGGAGGTCGCGCTCTTCCGCAGCAGTTTGTAGACGTCGAGGGTGAAGATGGTGCTGGCGCTGTTGAAGATGGAGTCCAGGTCGCTCATGAGGGCGGCGATCATCACGGCCATCATGAGCCCGCGCAGCCCCACGGGCACCAGGTTCATCACCAGGCGCGGGTAGGCGATGTTGGAGCAGCCGGCCCTGCTCCCGCACACCTGGAAGCAGTGCTCGGGGTTGATGCAGGCAATGTCATCCACAAACAGGATGCGGGAGATCATGCCCGGCACCACGATGATGAACATGGGCAGCAGCTTCAGGAAGCCGGCCATGAGGGTGGAGCCTTTGGCATGAGCGATGTTTTTGGCGGCCAGAACTCTCTGCACGATGACTTGGTCGGCGCACCAGTACCACACCGAGGCCGGGGTCTGTCCCAGCAGAAATCCGGGCCAGGGAATGTCCTCGTCCGTCGGCTCGCGCAGCATTTTCAGAGAGTCGGGCTTCGGGCTGACGTTGCAGGAGTTGGTGTTGGAGATGTTGTAGGTCAGCAGGATGGAGGTGATGTTTGGTGAGGCCAACATGTACCTCCTTTTCACTTCTTCAAACCCACCGACCTCCATGAGGCTTATGATCATGAGCGTGAGGGCCCCGACGATCATAAGCAGCGCCTGGAGGGTGTCCGTGTAGATGACGGCCACCAGCCCTCCGGTCACCGTCAGCAGCGCCGTCATTCCGATCAGCAGGATCACCGACAGGTACAGGTTCCACCCTAGGGACTCTTGGATAAAAAGCGCCCCTGAATACAAGTCAACCGAGAGTTTGGTGAAGATATAAAGGATTAGAGACAACGCTGCAAAATAGATTTGAATCCTATGCCCTCCGAACCGCTTGGACAAGTATTCGGGCATGGTGTACACTCCCGACCGGATGTAGACTGGCACGAAGACCCATCCCAAAAGCTGCAAAAGCATTAAGGCGTTGAACTCCCACGCGCCTACGGCGAATCCGCTCGCCGCTCCAGATCCTGCGAGCCCAATGAAATGTTCACTTCCAATATTGCTCACAAACAACGAGGCCCCGATAGCTACCCAGGTCATAGAACGCCCTGCCAAAAAGTAGCCACTCACGGTGCTCCGATTGCTTTTCCACATGGCAAAGAAACCTATGCACATTACAAGCACGAAGTACAGGGCCACAATGGCAATGTCTGCTGGCTCCAAAGAAGCCCTCATTTTTGTAACCAAAAAAAAGCTTTCGCTGACGTCCACTTCTCGCCCCCCAGCCAACGTCTCTTAAGCACCACGTGAACCAGTTTTAACCAAAATCAACACAGCGGGTCAAATTCTTTGTCCCTTGGTTTGCTGTCCTGATGCTGGTGGCAGTGGTACATTTACTTTTCTCCGCTTCTCAAATTTGGGAACTTAGCACGCACTTTTAATCCACATTCCACAAGAGCATCAGCCTTAACTCAGTTGATGTAGGAGAAATTCTTAGTTGCAGCTAAGTTTAGTGAGGCCTACTGTACCAACCCTGCAAGGCAGCAAAGACAAAAGACAAAGATTGAATTAGAGAGGAATTTCACGAAGTAATGAGAAAAAATTTGAAGTGTAGTAAAAACAAATCACTGAACACCACAGATTTTTCCCCCTTTATATTTCCTGCAATCCATAACAGACATCATTCAGTATTGGTAGGGCTGAGTGGGAAAAGCCTTTTACAAGTCAACTTCAATGGTTACAGGTACCTTTAGAGACGCAGCGATTCGGGACGATTGAGTGACCCAAATTCCTCAGAACATGGCAAGCAACAAAAATACATTTTCTTTTTCTTTACTCCGATGTCTCACAAGTCTCCTTTTCAAGCCACTAACCACATCTTCCTCTTTCAAGCAATATTAGGAAAATAAAATTAAAATAACCCAACAAATAACAAGGCTACAGAGCCCAAACGTGGCTCAGCATTTCCTGCACTGCAACTCCCCCAAATGCTGGGAGATTCTGGCACCACAGGAATGCACTTGAGACAACAGCTGGCTGCTAGAAAAATCAGAATGAGGTCACAGCGCTGTCAAAAAACAACATTCATTTCAAATCAGCTGGAGAATCAAGGTTATTCCACAGGTTTTGAGGTGAGTTTGCTCCTGTCCGGGGTACAGATAATCACAGGGTTATTTTTCACTTGGAAAGAGCTCTCCATACACATCCAAGTGATCCAAAGGGAGAAAACATCCCATTCCAACAAGTGGCAGAAGCAAAACTCTGCCTGACATCCCATGTTAGGGCCAGAGCCTTTGGATACCCACAGCTGGGGTTTTGTGGGAGCACCAGAGGCTCAGGAAGGAACACTGGGTGCATTCTGGCAGCAGTGGCAGCTGGAAGGATGCCAGGAAATGCCCTTCCCAGCATCCATTCCCATCCCACCATGGAGAGGTGGAAGGTATGGAGGAAAAGCTTTCCCTGTCACCTCTTCCCCAATTCCCAATCCCAACCTGACAGCTCCCAAACACGCCAGGAAACAAATCCCATTTTGGCAAGCAGGACTGAAGCTCTGGGAGTGGAGGGATGGGGACAATAAAGCCTTGGTGGCAGAGGAAGGGGCACTGAGGAGCTGCATGGAGGCTCCCTGGTGGATTTGGGATGTGCTCCCATCTCCTGTTTATGCCTTGGGAGGTACCACAGAACCATGGAAGGGACCTTAAAGCCCATGGGCAGGGACACCTCCCACTGTCCCAATGTCCAACCTGGCCTTGGGCACTGCCAGGGATCCAGGGCCTGGCCACCCTCTACCAACCCAGAGGCTTCTAATGGGATCAGAGAGAGCTGGACATGGGATTCTCCCATGTCCTACACCCAACGGCCATGGGAAGGAAAGACCAAAGCAAGGAACAGGTTTAGTCTAGAGGTCAGAACACAAACGTTTAGCAGCAATAATGAGATTATTACAGAAGGTGAGGAACAGGGTCTGACTCCACTCCTCTTTCCCACCCACTGGTAAAGGCACAAGAAAACCAACACTGAATCTTTTTTCTGGCCATAAATTCTCCCAAATCCTCCAAGCATCAGCTCCAGGCATCCCCTTCCAGCTCATTCTCTGGCACGAAGCTGAAGCTCCCATTTCCCCATTAATTAATGATTAATACAAACAGCCTGATAGCATATTCTAATATTTGGTTGGTTTCTTGTTTAGCATCTCTGCCATATATTGGGTTTGTTTAAAGGATCAATAAAACCATTTCAAATTCCAAGAGAGTTAAGGTTGGAAATGCACACATGTTGAAGGCAGCAATGGTGCCGGGGTAAAAACGTGCAACTCCTCACAGATTTTAAAAATAGATCCCAGCAAGCCACAACTTCAACCTTAAGGAGAAATCCACCATAGTGTCATTTGTATGGTCCAGCTGTTTTTCAGAATTAAAAAAAAAAAGTAAAAAAATAATAAGGGTTCCCCCCCCCCAGCACCACAAACCCACTTGAGAATAGAGATATTCCTTCTGTTGGAATTACAGCCAATAATGAGAGACTAAGGAGCCATGGCACAAAACAGACTGATTACAGCACTGGGCTAAATTTATCATTCCTCTGAAGCCTCAAACCACAGATGTATTTTCAATTCTTCCACAGAAGAATTCACATTTCTCCCCACCCGCAAATACAGGAGTAGTTAAATGGTCTAATAGCTTAATCCAACCCAAAATTATAAACACTTCACATCAGATGACGCAATCAGAGCCAAGTTTAATGGACTATTCTTAGTTTTAAGCACTTTGGAGCAACACTTTAATAGTGTTGTGTCTTTTGCTATATTCAGCTAATTTTTCAACTACGTTATGTTTATACCAAAATTATAAATATTTGAAGGGAAAGGGAAGAAGAGATTTTTACTGAGATATGACAAAAAGAAAATCTGCTATACAGAAAACCAGATAAGGAAATGGTAATAATTAGTATTTTTAATGTTCTGTTGTCTTTCTTATTACTAAAAAATGTTTGATTTTAACTTGAGCTCACCCCCCACCATCTTCCCTGCAGGTTCATCAGTGACCTGTCACAAATATCCTCAAGAACAATATGGAAAAATCACAAAAATATCTGTTCAAATGAATTCTATTTGACACCAGAAGTATCCAGATATTCACAGGGAAGCTGTGGCTGCCCCTGGGAATGTCCAAGGCCAGGCTGGATGGGGCTTGGAGCCACCTGGGACAATGGAAGGTGTCCCTGCCCTGGGGGTGGCACTGGATGGGCTTGAAGGTCCCTGGGAATGCAAACCTTCTGTAATTCCAGGATCCAGACTCTCTGACAAGTGTGTCAGTATTAGATGCAGCTGCCCTCAAATAAATTGTGACATTGCTCAATTAAGTCACTTCAGCTCCAAGGGGCTCATTCCAAGCAAAATAAACAAAATGTGAAGTTGCTGGAACGTTTTCCATAGGAAGATACAGCCAGACCATGCACCTGAAATAATCAAATTTCTGAGAGCTGAACCCTGCCCTTTGTCACCAACACCTGAGGGTTTTTTTTTTTTTTTTTTTTGTTTTTTTTTTTTTTTTTTTGCAGGGTTCAGTTTTTGCCTGAGCTGGAAAGTTTTCAGCAGCCACCACAAATTTGCTGCACTGTCACTAAATTACAGCACTGAAGTAGCTTCTTGTACCAGTTTCTTAGACCTAATTCCAAAATAACCCTGGAACTTTTCTTCATTAGGAAAATGAGACTCGTCCCTCTGAACTTTCAGCAAGTTCTGACCTCAAGTCTTACAAAGGACTTTTGAGATGCCCCATGTGAGTTTAATCCTGAGTTATTAGAACAGTGAACATTGTGGCACTGACAGAGGGAGGGAAAAAAAAAATAAAAAAAAAAAAAATAGAAGGCAGAAAGACAGTGCTGCTGCCAAGGACTGGGAATTTTCTTCCCTGAGGCTGTTTTCTGGCTGGATCATATCAAAGACACAGAACAATGTGCTTCCCTCTTGTCTGGAAATAGAGGCTGCAGCTCTGGTGAAACAATGCATATGTCTCTCCAACACCCAGCCTGTTCCTTAAGGGGAAAAAAAAAAATCCCAAGCAAATCCCTGAAGAGAGATTTCATAATGTGAAGCAGACCCAGGGTGGGATTTTTGAGGAGAAATTTGTACTATTGCTCTAAAGGAAAACTTTCTCCACAGTGCTTTTCTAATAAAATGGGTGTTTAAAACATGCCAGAGTCCAACTGCTCCAGCTCTGAAGCCACGATTTGTTCTCAGCTCCGTCGGCTTTTCGGCAGATGGGAAATTTCTGAGCTGACTTTCCTTTTCTCCTCACCAATCCTGATGTTTTAAGGGTTAATTTGGGGATGTAGATGCCCACCTATCCCACAGCAGTGTCCACTGTTAGCAAATTAAGTGCTTTGCTCACAGAGTTCCAAGTAGTTTTCAGTTTATTTCTTGGGAACAACATTTTCCCTCTCCACCTTCTTCAAGCAGGAGTATTTGAACTCAAACCTGCAGCACTTCACCTACTGAACAATTCTGTTCAGGGAAGAAATGTGTCCAGATTGGCAGGATGATGGAAAATATTAACTGTGCCACAGAAAAAATGAATAAATAACAAGAGGTCTGGTGCCTTGAGTGGGGTCTGTAGCATGTGCAACCCCCCGGGTGTGTTTTCCGGACTCCTCGCTCTCCTGGCCGTGGACACATCAGAGTTCCTACCTGTCCACTGCTCCACTGTGAACACAAGGGGAAAAAAAAAATAAAAAGAGGAAAAGCTTTGTTCCATTTACTGCAGCACTCCAGAACATAAAAAAGGAGCACTGAAGCTCTTCATGGAGTAAGTGATACATAAATTATGTAGCACACGCCCTTGAGGAAGCAGGGGCTATCCTTGGCAGCTGCTCAGCACAGCCCTCAGCATCCAGGGCAGCAGTTCCAGGCTTTTCCCTGAAAACCAGGAGCTGGGGCACAGCAATGTGCCAGGAACCCTCCTGGGACAGACAGGGAAGGCAGAAGTTGACCTGGAGCATCCAATAAATAATTTGAGCTGATGGGGATGCCAGGCCAGACCTGAACTCAAGAGGCTGCAGCAGGAAAGGGCCACATTTCCAGGTCACCTGAGCCAACCTGACTGAAGCTGTTGGTCACACTCTGCATCATCACCACATCAACCTCCTGCTGGTCTGGAGAACTCAGGAGCCAACTCTAAAAACCATCACTACCAAAAAAAAAAAAATCCAATTTGAGGTGCAAGGATCAAGTCACTCACTCAAAGGAGTTGTTATGAACACGTAAGGAACTTTTTTGGTCAGGAATCACTCCAGCTCTGCTCTTTGTTTTACTGCAGCAGCACAAAAAAAAAGCAGTTTGTTCCAGCATAAGTTCTTCTGGATTCTCTTCTACACAACTGCTGAGGGAGACATGAGAGAAATAAGTAACCCCAGAGCAAGAGACACAGAGAACTCACTGGGTTTGCCAGTCAGAAATGGGATGTCCAGGGGACAATCACAGAGCAGAAACTGGAGTGAAGAGAGGCCAACAGGAGCTCAAGGGCACTGGGACTG